TTTCAGACTCCAAGTGTGAGCCGAGAAGTGTCAGTTACACAAGAGGCTAATGATACATTCTCATTTCAGAGGCTCAGTCCAATTAAGACGGACCCTGAGGAGGGCTTTGACTCAATTAGAGCGGGTCTCCACATGAACCACTTTGGATCCTTTGCCACCTTTTGTAAATGCTACTTTCAGTGCCAGCAAGGAAGGGACTTAAACTTAGCAAGAGGCGCTCGTGAATCATGGCGCCGACGACGAGTGGTAATCCCAGCAAAGGACTAAAGCTAAAATGAATTGAATAAATAAAACAGCCTGCAGGATCGTTTTTCATCCCATATCATGTGGAAGTGTGTGTTAATGTGTTGGAATTCTTTGAAAACTCAATGTTAATTATAACTTCAAAGAACAACCAGAAATTTTAAAAAATGTAGCAAAGTAAAATGAGAATATATTAAAATCAAAGCAATAAAAAATAAAATCAATAATACACAGCAGCTGTTCCTGCAGTTACATGTATTAGCAAAGTGTACAAAAATGGACGTAAGAGTCGAATAGAAGACAACAGTTGCAATTGTGCTCTGTTACTATAAGTTATTTGTAGTATTGTCAAGTTAGCTGTGTGTGTGTGTGTGTGTGTGTGTGTGTGTGTGTGTGTGTGTGTGTGTGTGTGTGTGTGTGTGTTCCAGCAGTGTTTGTGTGTGAGTATTCGTGATTTGATGGACTATGACACACAAAGCCGATGGTAATTTCGATTTGCTTGTCAATAGGATTGGACTTTAGCATTAGCATTCACACTAATCGATGTATGAACAACGAAACACGTCTCGTATTTAAATATACGATGTGTGTAATTCTTCTAGTTGTTTAGTTTTACAGTAAACTCCAACTAGGGTGTCATTAAACAGCCGAGAGCACACTCAGGGGAGAGCAGAATCACCCAACGCTTGCAGCACAAGCAACATGGTGCATTTCTGGTTCTTTGGCAACATCAGGAATTGGCAAACGCGCCACGCCGTTCTGCACATGAATCGTTTTTCTTCGATTTGAATGGTTGTAAGATTGTGAGAAGCCAAAATCGAAATCACAATTACATTTTGTTTAATTACCCAGCCCCATCTGCCAGGCACACTTGGAAGTAGGTACTAGAAATGGTACCACACCCTACCAACTGAAAAGCATCTGTCGGGAATAGAGCTCATGAACTGACTCTTGCAAACTGAAAACAGAACGACTGACAATTCTCCAAATGTTTTCAGAGCCTCTCAGGGAGTATTGTCCTGTATCTCAAGGAAGTGAATTCTGTTTGAATGATCTCATTTCAGCACTTCACTGTTTGAAACTTTCGAGGCAGCTTTCCTCCCAGCTGAAGAGTGAGAACTCAATGCAGAGTACAGTGTGGCCTCATGTTATTCACACATGATCATAAGGGTCCAGTCACATGGGGCCTCGTGTGCGTGCGTGCGTGTGTTAGGCCGGTGTTGACACTTGCCTTACTTACACAGTATCATGGGAAGCTGAACTCAATTGTGTCCACGCTGTCCAAACACAGGCGCAAACGCAGAGTCATCAGTTCCTGCTGCTCTGCCACATCCTATTTTATCTACTTGGAGACGGGAACATGTGGCTATACACACGAGGTGGAGCCGAAGTGGGAGAGGCGCCGCACTCTACGCAAATGAAGAAGCCTCCAAAGCGTCCATCTTTTAGCTTTTATTGCCAAGTAAATGTGCTGGAAAAAGTCTTATCTGTAGTGCTTTTTGACGAAAATATATTTACCGCTCCTGGTTCTGCTGGTCTTCTACCAAATAGCCCAGTGGGCAAAACTGGCATGTGCCTTTTGTGTGTGTGTGTGTGTGTGTGTGTGTGTGTGTGTGTGTGTGTGTGTGTGTGTGTGTGTGTGTGTGTGTGTGTGTATGTGTGTGTATGTGTGTGTGTGTGTGTGGTTTATGCCGGGCACAAATGACTGCTCTACAGATTTTTGGGGTGGGGGGTGCTTTCTGTAATTTTCCGACTACTGCCGACCATCTGTGCACTGCTATCTAGACAACAAAAGTAGGTTGGCTGGCATGGCATGTGACATTTATCACACAATCTTCAAACAGCCCAGTGGCAATGAATGGCATGGACTATTTTTTTCCCTATTGCAGTTCAATGACTTCTGCCTAGCAACAAAAGGCCGTCCCAAAAATGTGGGACACAGCCAGGAACAAGAGAGGTGTTGCCATTCCGTCAAACTTATATGCATTTTTTTTTTTACTACTGGTGAACAACAGGAAGCCATGTAAATACAGTATCTCACATGACAAGGACAAAGAATTAAAAACAAAATTACTTCACAATTGTTCATTTTCGGGTCGTCGTCTTTGTGTTCCTTCGTATTGCTACAGACTTTCTGCCCGATGTCATCCAAACAGCCCAGTGGGCATAACAGTAGAGCTGGCTTAAAAAAAACTATTTTTTGATTAATCGAATTGCATCAATTTTATTTTCATTGCCCAATATCAATTCATAAAAAACATAAATTGATCCTTCTAATGTCTTTTTCCAATAAATTCATGCGACTTGTCGAGTCGCGCAAGATCTCGTCAAGACTAAGTAAGAGTAGCGTATCAAAACAACATGGCAAAAGCACAGAAAATCAGCGCTCACCGGCTTGAAAATCGATGCCTGGAAGTATTGGGGTTTCAAAAAAAAAAAAAGGATGAGAGCAAAAAGATGTGCTTCTTGGAAGTGAGTTATTGTGGAAACACAACGAATCTTTGAACGAGACTCCACCCGGCGCAAACACAGTCCTCATCAGCCCCCGAGGCAGATGCAGTTGGAGATGCTTTGATTGGGTACATTGAAATTGTTATTGTTTGTTTTGATCAGGTCATGCTCAATAAAAAATACATGATTAATGCAACTGCATTGGGATGAATTCTTAATGTAAATATTCAGCGAGAGCAAGATGTTTCGACTATTGGCAGCATTGCTTCTTCTGAATGTTTTCCATATGGAAATAAATTGGGACTTTATAAAATCCTGAATTCAATCGAAAATCAATCAAAGTGAATCGAATCAGGCCCTTGTGAATCGAATCACTGTTGGAAATCTGAATCGATACCCAGCCTTGCATAACTACCATGTCGCTTTTTTTCCATGGGCAAAACGCGAGCGTGATCTACAAATTCTGGCAAGCAAGAAAAGTGTAGCGAGACCAGAGCTGCATAGCAAAATGCATAAAAAGCATCCAGAGAGTAGGCTAGTGCTGCCCCTGATTTAATCTCTGCCCATGGTGACCTTGCCACCAGGTTGACAAGGTTGTGTGGTTTTACTAACCATTCAAGCATGCTGTGGCATCAACATAACATTCTCAGTGTTTATGCAAAGGCAACACAAATACAGAATGCACAGAGGTGACACCAGCATGAGAGGATGAGGCACTGTTTTAATATCGCAAGAAAAAAAAACAAAAAAAAAAAAAAACGGAGTCACTTGCAAGATATTTTACCACTTAAGCTGGGTAAACTGAATTCATTCCGCCATTCAGCCCAAATCCCTTTTCATTAAAAGCAGTAAGGGCCTGATTGTCAGACATCTCTAAAAGATCATCACCATCATTATTAATTATTTTGATTATAATACGCTGGTGGTGTAGTGGTACACTCGCCTGACTTGTGTGCAAGCAGGGTGGGATTGGTTCCCACTCAGTGACTGTGTGGATGTGGGCGTTAATGGTCGTTTGTCTCTATATGTGCCCTGCGACTGACTGGCGACCAGTTCAGGGTGTACTCTGCCTTCCGCCCAAAGTCAGCTGTGATAGGCTCCAGAAACCCCCCGCGACTCTCTTCAGAATAGGCGGTGTTGAAAATGGATGGATGGATGGATGGATAATTATTATTAATAAATTGCAGTCAATTGCCTATGGGTCCAGACTTTAAGGGCACCCTGCATAAGCAACAGTAAGAACATTGTTTTAGGGCAGTCTTTCAGATTTAAAATTTGGTTACAAATTGTAAGAAAAAAAAAAAAACGTATGCGCGTGCCTTGTTTAAGCCGTAAAACATTTCCTACGTTATGAATAAATCGATCATTCTGACCAGAAGATTTAATCGATTGCTGTACTGCTCAATTTAGTCCTGAGTCACTGTGGTTTGTTTGCTTCATTTAAATCAGACATTATTGGAGATAAGCAGATGGGCTGTTGGCACCGGAGCGGACACGAGCCCAGGGTGCCCCAACCACCATTAGAGCGGAGACGCTTCAAAGCTTGGCTTAAAATCAGACTGCGTGTGTGCTGATAAGCCGGCAAAACTCAACCGGCATTCATTTGCAGAATCTGGATAAGTTCCTCTTGTCTGCCTGCAGCTGCGAGCTAATCAAATCGCACTTTCATCTCCATTGATTCTCCTTGTCGGGCGCGTGTTGAAGATTTGATTACATTATCTGATCGTGGTCATTTTACACACAAATTGGCCAGATTTTTAATTGCTGTGCAGATACGAGAAAATTACGGCAATGCTAGGTTATTCGATCAATAACATGAAGCGACATGAAAAAGCCCCCCCCCCGAATGAGCCGCGCAGGAATAATGTATGTTGCTAAGTCACAGGGCAGCTGGTGGGCAGAGGTGGTGGGGGTGATGTTTGGTCAGGAGTTGTATTATTCCAGAGCGTGCGTACTAAAGACCTTTGCCCCAAATCGAACGGCTCCTGTCTATTATGTTTTCTTGGTGTGCCGCCACCACCGGCAAATTCCACCAGGCCTGACAGTAAGGTGACACCAAGGGTCCGGATAATAAATGTGGACTGTTGTCAAAGAGGGCAGAGTAGAAATGGTGTAATGGCAATCATATGGGCATGCTTTGGGGGACACTCATGGGGCAAAACATCGAAATGGAGCAGGTGGTCAGGCACAGAATCCCCTGCGGGAATCCCCCCCCCCCCAATCACCACTCCTCCCTTCATTCATTCATTCATTGAATGAATGGATGAATGAATGAATGTGTAAATAGGAGTAAGACAACAGCTTACCTTCGTGACAACGTTCTGCACAAGGCCGGTGTGCAGCTCAAAGGTCCACGCGTTGCACAGGCACTGCGTGTCGTCGCCCGTGTCGTTGTGGACGCCAGCAGCCAGCCCGCTCGCGTTCTGGGGGCCACCCGACGTCCAGGAGCGGGCCCACGTCACGTTTCCAGCGGCAGTCGTAGTGGCGGTGGTGGAAGCAGTGGTGTTCGCCAAGGGCTGGATGCATGTGTTGTTGGGCTGGGCGAGTAGGAAATTGTCCGAGTGCTGGCTGAATCCGATGAAGAGCGCCGGGATCCATGTGAGCAGGATCAGCTGTTTCTGGTACTTCCCGAAGCCGCCAAGAAACGGGAGGACGGCACAGTCGATGCGCGTCAGCGGACCGGGTGACGACGACGTGCTCTCGGGGGACACGAAGCCGTTCTCCGGTTGATGGTCGTCGGTGTCGGCCATCGCGCTTCCGCCGGTAGATGCCTCCTCGGTTTGCGTTCGGGAAGGAGGGGTTGCAGCGCGCGCCCCCCTCCAACACCACCACTACGAACACCACCTCCGCCTCCTCCTCCTCCTCCGCCTCCTCCTCCTCAACTCCCCCCACCCTGTCGACTCCACATTACGTCAATGCGCTCAGTTCCAGGGGGGTAGCCACACCGAATGGACTGGAAGTAAGACTCTTCTGTTGTAGGCAAACACTTCTTCTTGTGCCACTACTGTGTATGGCCGACGCGCACGCAGCGGTCCACCAACTATATGACGACTTTCCTCCCCGTCGTCCGGTTTATTGTGTCGGTGCTGGCGTGCTCCCGGAAGTTAAAGGCTGGTAACACACCTGAGCTGAGCATGAAGCCCCGTGCAAACGCGGACTCACCTAACATGGCTCCAGGCAAGGGACGTCATCTCCAATCAAACAACCAAAATCATTTGTTACATTAATATGCGTATTCGTGGTAATCAAATATAATCAAAATAATGACAATTTAATATTTAAAACACGTCGACAAAAGCTGGTGTTTTTGGAGGATGGGGAGGGGGGCCATTTGCGTTCCGTTTCCGTATATTATGCTAATTTTGTTTCAACATACAGTGAACCCCCGTTATCGCGTGACATAGGGCCCGGGCCTACCCGCGAATAGCGACAATTCGTGTGTAATTGACGCCCATATATGTATATGTATATGTGACACATACACATATTAGGTGTATACACACACACACACACATATATATATATATATATATATATATATATATATATATATATATATATATATATATATATATATATATATATATATATATATATATATATATATATATATATATATATATATATATATATATATATATATATATATACACACACACACACACACACACACACGTGTGTGTGTGTGTGTGTTTGTATATATTTATCTATCTATATATTTAAATCTATATCTATCTATCTATATATATCTATATATAGAGAGATATATATATACCGGTAGATAGATATAAATATATATACAGTGATCCCTCGCGCTAACGCGGTTCACTTTCCGCGGCTTCGCTGTTTCATGGATTTTTTTAGTGCATTTTTTTAATGCTTTTAAACAGTGAATTGCGTTCTGCATCCTGATTGGCTAAGGCACTGACCGACGTGAACAGTCTCCGCATCTCGTCTCTGTACAACTTGCCAAATTTACCTTTGCGAATTTTTGGTCTGTGGTTTCATTCTATCAGTGGCGGATACTGGTCTGTCAAGGAGGGGAAGCTACATTTCGGCCTACATCATAAAATGTGTCTGTTTATTTATACGTGAATTCTACTCTCCGTTCCTTTTCAAAAAAATGAAAAAGATGCATTCACCATAAGATCGGTGAGTGGCTCATTTCGCTGTCAATCAAAAAGAGATTCAGCCTCAGAGAGATCATCCAATCATCATGAAGCTGAGCTTCTGCACGCCCACTGACCATTGACTCCCAGAGACACTGAGCGTCCAATGGGCGGGACAAAACCAGCATTTATCCAATGACTCGTCTCGTTTCAAGGCATTGGGACAACATAAACTGAACTCTCTAGATTAGATGCCCACCGTCCGTGCGGTTGACGCTCAGCGTCCACACAGTTTAAAGCACAGTGAAGCTGTGGGAATGAATGAGAAGAGAGTCACATCGTAACCAGTAATAAGAAGCTGATTCGAAACAAAAGTTGAGCGCGTTGTAGCGCATATTTAGTCATTGACATGTCCACACAATTGTATGTACACACATATATTTGATCACTTACTTTTTGACATTTTAGGGGAAGCTGAGCTTCCCTTGCAGTCTTAGAGCAATCGCCTCTGCATTGTATACATAGTTCAGTATTGTATAATAACTGTAAAAAATAAAGGTGACTATCAAGTACCAAGTACATCGTTATTGTCAAATGCACATTTGAAATTTGGTCCCTCTCACATTTTTTTTCCTTTTTTTTTTTTAATAAATCCTACTTCACAGATTTCACTTATCACTTCTTTTTGGAACGTAACACCCGCGATAAACGAGGGATTACTGTATGTGTATCTATATCTATATCTATATATATATAGATGTATAGCGCTGTACAGAACATTTAAAACACGACTTCCAAGAAATCCGAATTTATCCGTATATAAGGTGCGTCGGATTATAAGGCGCACTGTTGACTTTTGAGCAAATGGAATACTTTTAGGTGCCCCTTATACTGCGGAAAATATGGTGTCTATATAAATAATCAAATATATATATATATTCCTCCTGACTGTCTCACTTCTGCTTGGCAACAAGAGGTCATGTGTGACATGACCACGAAGAATGAGAATCGGGCATTAACTGGTTTCATAATTCTGTAATACGTTTGTCTGTATGTCTTTTTCTCCAGTGTCGGTACAAAAAAACAAGCAGGCATGGCTGGTTTATGCAAAGATTTCATGATTCACATGTTATTCCTAGCAACATGAGGCCACCCAAACGAACCGCATGACCAGGAACTATTGTAGAATCGCAGCCAGTCCGCCATTTGAACGGCTCGAATTTAACTCAGTTTTTTAGTCAAGTTATAGAATTAATGTTGACTGTTGTTTCTCCGTGCTGTTTAGTAAAGTTGAACCTCAAAGGCGGAAACCCAATTCATTGCAGGACACTCAAACCGATTAGTTTCCCATTTCTAAACATAAAAAATGTAAACGTGTTAAAAACTTACTCAAGTACAAATTGCCTTTTATAGCATTAACTGTATAAACAGTCTGCTGTGTGGGTTTTTTTTTTTTCATTTAAATAAGTAAGAAATAACTCCGTTTGTATTTCGGAGCGTTCTTATTCACTATGCTACTCTCATATGTTGCTTTAATAACACAAAAATATTAACTATGATTATACGTACATTGTTTTGCTGTTGACAGCCCCAGATTATTATTTGGAAAATCACACCCAATGACAGACAGCAATTTTTAGTTTTGAGAAACACTATAAGAGAGACAGTAACTTAGCAATATCTTTATTACTGCAGATATGTGCAGCAAAATGAGAAATAATTTCCTCTAACAGCTGGCAGATATACAGCAGATGCTGTGTGGTTGTGCAATGGCGCATACCACAACCACATTGTTAAATGAATATATTTCTGCCAGTGTCACTCAAAATAGAGCGACGTTATCTCTGTCAAGGCATAATATTGTATCAGACATTATTATGAGATGAAAGTGTCACCAAATAAACGGATACTCTGTGTAGAAGAGGAAACAGAAAACCATTCATCTTCCCTGGGTGACAACAAATCAAACTTGTGGTTGAACATGTCAAGTATATCGTTTATGTATGTATTATTATTTTTTTTAATAAAGTCCTGAATGAAGCAATTCATTTATTGTATATGTGCATAATTCATTTGAGGTTTGTCTTCCATCGTGGACCGAATAAAAAGGAGGAGAGTGCACATTAGTTTACGTTTTATGACATGTAGCCTGTGGCTTTGTACAAGGTTGCCAAATCATAATGTTTGGGCTCATTAAGTTTGCATTGGTAATAAAAAAAGCATAAATTGCACATACGTTTTATTACATTTAAGCCTTGCTTAAAACGAAATGGACTTATTTACAGGGGCGATACATCAAACAATAAAAACAGTAATTGAGAGATTGAAGTAAATATGCTGGAAGACATAACTCGTGAATGGTGTATAAAGCATGCAAACAAGCGCCAGTTGCGGGGATTTTCATCCATTAGTATAATAACTAGAACGGAAATAAAACATATGGCAGTGTAAAAAGGCCATAAACATCTCATACAATGCTGATATTTTACCCAACCACACTTGTCCAATGAAATATATTGAAGAAACCCTCTGAGAGCGTATTACTATGTGTGCGGCAATGCTGCATCCTGGTGGTCATAACTTGTCATTACATGCAAAGATCACCTTTTTGTGGAAGCTTTTAAGGCTGTAACTGTTCTAAGAGATTAATGTTAAAGTTTGGAGTTTACAAAATTTTATATCACAATTCTAATTTTCTAATCTTTTGGGCTGAAACAGGGTGAAGGAATATGAGATTGCTCAGGGAGAAAAAAAAATGAGGGTATAGAGTGGTTTCTTACACATTAGTGCTCCCTGCAGGAAGTTTGGAGTAACTGACTTCTCTTTTTACTGTAGTACAGTTGGTAGTATATTTGGGAACAAAGTGGGGTATTTGGCACTTTTGAGCATATACTATACACGATCTTGTGTGCGATCATTCAATCAGATCCAAACATTTTAAACTGCTCTCTAACTGCCTTTGAAGTGAAGAAACAATTAAAAAGGCATCATGACTTTCCTCCTATGCAAACACACCCGTCAAACAAAGCTGCGGGCGCACATAACTTAAAACTAAGACACCTGGCTGTGCTCCAACAGAAACCAGTCAACCGTCGTTCCTGCAATGTGTGACATGACCACGAAGAATGAGAATCGGGCATTAACTGGTTTCATAATTCTGTAATACGTTTGTCTGTATGTCTTTTTCTCCAGTGTCGGTACAAAAAAACAAGCAGGCATGGCTGGTTTATGCAAAGATTTCATGATTCACATGTTATTCCTAGCAACAAGAGGCCACCCAAACGAACCTCATGACCAGGAACTATTGTAGAATCGCAGCCAGTCCGCCATTTGAACGGCTCGAATTTAACTCAGTTTTTTAGTCAAGTTATAGAATTAATGTTGACTGTTGTTTCTCCGTGCTGTTTAGTAAAGTTGAACCTCAAAGGCGGAAACCCAATTCATTGCAGGACACTCAAACCGATTAGTTTCCCATTTCTAAACATAAAAAATGCAAAAGTGTTAAAAACTTACTCTAGTACAAATCACCTTTTATAGCATTAACTGTACAAAACAGTCTGCTGTGTGTTTTTTTTTTCATTTAAATAAGTAAGAAATAACTAAGTTTGTATTTCGGAGCGTGCTTATTCACTATGCTACTCTCATATGTTGCTTTAATAACACAAAAATATTAAATATGATTATACGTACATCATTTTGCCGTTGACAGCCCCAGATTATTATTTGGAAAATCACACCCAATGACAGACAGCAATTTTTAGTTTTGAGAAACACTATAAGAGAGACAGTAACTTAGCAATATCTTTATTACTGCAGATATGTGCAGCAAAATGAGAAATAATTTCCTCTAACAGCTGGCAGATATACAGCAGATGCTGTGTGGTTGTGCAATGGCGCATACCACAACCACATTGTTAAATGAATATATTTCTGCCAGTGTCACTCAAAATAGAGCGACGTTATCTCTGTCAAGGCATAATATTGTATCAGACATTATTATGAGATGAAAGTGTCACCAAATAAACGGATACTCTGTGTAGAAGAGGAAACAGAAAACCATTCATCTTCCCTGGGTGACAACAAATCAAACTTGTGGTTGAACATGTCAAGTATATCGTTTATGTATGTATTATTATTTTTTTTAATAAAGTCCTGAATGAAGCAATTCATTTATTGTATATGTGCATAATTCATTTGAGGTTTGTCTTCCATCGTGGACCGAATAAAAAGGAGGAGAGTGCACATTAGTTTACGTTTTATGACATGTAGCCTGTGGCTTTGTACAAGGTTGCCAAATCATAATGTTTGGGCTCATTAAGTTTGCATTGGTAATAAAAAAAGCA